TCCTCCACTCTTGGTTATTTAGACTTAAAGTCTGCACAGGAAATCATTTAAAATACACTTGTAGTGTTTGTGTTTGCCTTCCATATCAAATCATGAAAGATTACTCTAAATGCACATTCTGAACAATATCCTATTGGTATTTTCCATTGAGCACGGTTGAATTAAACTATCACCAAAAATAGCATTCTTCATTTACATTTTGTTTCAATACGTTTTTCCTGTTATGTTTCTGAAACCTACACACAGAGCTTCTGCAATGACATCATGGCACCAAGCAACAATAAGTGAGTTTTCCTATAGGAAGAAGTAAGTGTTTATCTAATGTTTTTTTCACTTAACTTTTAATTTTTTTTAAGAGACAGGGGTTCACCCTGTCACTTCAGGCTAGAGTCAGATGGTGAGACCATAGCTCATGGCAGCCTTGAACTCCTAAACTCAAGCAAAGTTTGAGTTTGCTCTTGCTAAAGCTCTTGCTTCAGCCTCCTGGGACTATAGGTGGGTGCCACCATGCCTGGCTAACTTTAAAACTTTTGTATAGATAGGGTCTCACTATATATCACGCAGGCTGTTCTTGAACTCCTGGCCACAAGCAATCCACCCACCTCAGCCTCCCAAGATGCTGGGATTACAGGTGTGAGCCACTATGCCCAGCATCACTTAATTTTTAATATTCAATAATTCCAAAATAACACAAAAGTAGACAGCATAGTATAATGGGCCTTCACGTCTCCACCACCCACCTTTGATAGTGGCCAGTCTTGTTTTGTCTCTGCTTCCACCCATTCATCTTTTCCGTATCACTGTGAAACAACCCTCAGTCCTATCATTTCATCCATAAAAATCTCACTATCTCTAAAAGACAATGACTGTTTAGAAGAAAGACAGTCTCAAAATCAAACCAAGCAACAACAAAACCCTCTTATCCTAACACATGGAACCGATGTCCATATCAGAAGGCAGTATGTCTTCTGTGGATTCTCAGACTCAGAAGTCAAGCGGCTCACAGTCTCACAGGTCGTGCAGTCTCTTCTTTCTTTTCTTGAGGTTCTGAGATGTCTCAGGAATAGCATCATTAGGAAGAGCCTCAACTATTCAGTCTTCCCAAAAAAGAGTCACAGTGCAGCTAGAAGCTTACTGATCAAAGATATTTAAGAATAATTATAAATCCTTTATGAAAATTGCTGGAGTCTGGGCAGTTGTTGCTTGGTCAATGTAAGTTCCTTTGGCTCTTTTACATGACACCAGTAAAAATGTTAGCTGACCCTTCAGACTTGGTTAAAAGTGACTAAAAATACTGTAATTCATCCTGAAAACATAAATTCTTGTAAAAATAATAAATAACGTGTTATGTGACTCAGCTGAGTCACACATCTCTAAACGAACTTCATAATCACTACAAAAATATTTACTGTGAGTTTCTGTGTGCATAAAGTTAACCCTTATCACTTAGGTATACAAAAATATAAGGTCAGTGATAAGAACTAAACAGACGCTGTACCAGTTTTGTAAGTTGTCTCACTATGGTGATCACAGCACTGTCACTGTTCTGAGTTAGGACTCCATACAGAATTTGCTTTTATAGTAGCCGCATCATATTTTTAAGTAATCAATGAAAAGATCATGCACATTTGGTTTCTATCAATTTGTCTTTGCCACTCCCAGCTAAGGCTTTCTCTCCATAAACCGTTTTTTGGTTTTTTTTTCCCATAAACCGTTTTAAACCAACCCACACATACATATAAACATCCCTATGGGGGTAATTTCTAACTTGTTCATTTAAAGTCATCTTGTTGGTATTGCCTATCTTGAACCCCTTAAAATCTCTATGCATCTGGGTTCAGTCACCTCATCTGTTGTGTCATTTTCATCTGGTCTATGTCTGTACCCTACAGAGCTTAGCTTACAGGTCTACATCTTTTGTTTATCTGAGACCCTATTAACAGAATGTCATCTAACTCATATTCTCAGGCTTGTCCATAAGGAGATCCCGAGAATCTGGCAAAGTGTTGACCAACATTGAGACGCATCAGTAATTTCCCCCCATTTTCTCCTCTAGTAACCTGGTTAAGAAAGGAAGAAAGATTAGTTTAGTCTAATTAGTCACAGAGAGGCTCTAGAGACTTCCTCTCTCTTTTCTAATGGCATGGAAATGATTTTGAATGGTCTTTTGTAGAATTTTAACTTGGATTTACATCAATATCAGAGTCTATAAACTCTTCAATCTGCTTTTTTCCTTATTTTTGAAAATGTGGACATTTGCTCATTTACAATTTGCTGTCATTTCTTTCATCCTCCTTGTTTTCAAGTCTCTTTCAATGATAAGTGCTTCCCAACTGAGGACAGTAACCCTCACAGAGAAGACAGGAACATCGCAGGGGCTGCAGAGCTATTAAAACCCAAGCTTTCTTACCCATACCAAGGGTCCATTTTGTCAAACTCTTAAATGTAGCTACAAATGGCCTTTTAGATTTTTATCAGCTTATTTGTTAAGCCGCACGTCACCCTGGGATTTGCCCATCCTGACATTTATTAAATGCTACTCTTCGTGTTTATCCCTGGACAACTGTCTTCCGGCCATGACTCCACTCCTCATTGTTTATATATGCTTTCCTTAGACCTGTGCCCAGCAGACAGCCCTCTCTATTCCTACCCTGGTTTCTTTAAAGGTGTTCCAAATCATAGCCTTTTTTCCTGGATGTATTGTCAAAAAGACATGTTATTGTTTTTCTTCCTGTCAAGTTCATACGCCTCTTTGAAATCTCTGTCCATAGAATCATAATAGCCAATATTTATTAAGCACCTACTATGTGTCAGGCAATGCAAGGTATTTCATATCCAGCTCATTTGACCCCATAATAATTATGAAAGATAGAAATTGTAGGCCTGTGAAGGAAAGGGTTAACTCAGTAGGCCTGAACTGCTCAAATCCTGTACAATCCCACGGTCTTCAGAACTGGCCCTCGCCTGGATTTTGGGAGAAGGCTTTGAGCCCTTGGAGTATGTATCTTGGCTGCTAAGTGTTGTGGTATGCCTAAGGACTTGGGTCATGCCAGAAAGTTTATGCTAACAATATGATTTATGCTAAAGACTTATTTTTGTGTGCCTAAGCCTTTGGTCCATGCTATATCAGTTTTACCTCCTGATAAAACTCTGGGGGACTATGATCTAAGGAGCCGAGGTAAGTCATTTGAATGCTACATGTTTGTTTACATGACTGACCCCCAATAAAAACTTTAAACATCAAGGCTTGAGTAGTTAGCACTACTTTGCATGTGTTGTCACATATAATTGTTACGTGAATTAAGTGCTGTCTAGACTCTGCTACAAGAGAGGTCAACTGGAAGCTTGCTGGTCTCTTCTGGATTCTACCACCCTCTATACCTTTTACCTTTGCTGATTTTAATTTGTATCCTTTTGCTGTAATAAACTGTAAATATGAATATAATAGCTTGTCTGAGTCCTGTGAGCCCTTCTAGCAACTTACTGAACCTGAGAGTATTCCTGGGGATCACTGATGCAGGCCTCATTTTATACATAAAGAAACAGGGCTCAAGGAAAGGTAAATGATAGAGCAAGGCTTAAAACTAATTCTTCCAGAAATCAAAGAATATTTTTCTGTCTGCCACTTCACAGCACCTTCACTCTTCAGAAATAAAAAAAAAATAGGATGGGCATGGTGGTTCATGCCTGTAATCCCAGCACTTTAGGAGGCTGAGTTGGGAGAATTGCTTAAGTTCAGGAGTTTAAAACCAGCCTGGACAACATTGTAACGGCCCATTTCTGGAAAGAAAATAAAACGTGGACAACTCTTTCTAAAGATATAGACTATGGGTTCTGAGAACTGAACTAGTAGAAAGATGAGAATCCAGGTGCCAGAATGGCCAGTGGAATAGTGCACAGAATATATTTGAACAGTGCCGCAAAGGCTTTGAAGACTAAACTGACAGAACCACAATGAACAGAGGTGCATTGAACAGACATAACCAGGGACATCACATGCAAAAACAGAAATCTTGACATCCTCCATAGGATTTAAACAAGATCTAGAACATTAATAACACAATATTCAAAATGTCTATAAATTTGTCCTAAATTTTTCAGCTTTTGAGGGAAAAGAGAAATGTAGCTTGCATGGGAAAAAACAATCAACAGATGCCAACAGTGAAATGACACAGACAATGATTACCTGGCAAAAACTTCAAAGCAACTGTTATAAAAATTTCCTAACAAGTAAGCACAAACCCTTTTGAAACAAATGGCAAAACAGCAAGTTTCAGTAAAGAAATAGAAAATATAAACAAAGAGAAATATTAGAATTGAAAAATATAGTGATCAAAATTAAAATGAGCTCAACAGAAGAATTGAAGGGACAGAAAAAAGAAGAATCAGTGAATTATCCTATCTGAACAACAAAGAGAAAATAGAATGAAAATAAATTAAAAAAGAACACAGCCTCAGGGACTTGAGGGACCTGTGTGACTCTCACTGGAATCATGAAAGGAGAGGAAAAAGAAGGCAGAGCTGAA